AACCCAAAACACTAGAAGGTAGAAAATGAAATGGAATAAAATAATGTCTAGGTTTCATTGAGTTATGAGACTTATTATTAGTAACTGATTAGAAATCACATTTGATAAATAAAAAATCTGAACATTAAAAAAAGGAGGAGCTCCACCTCTGTCCAGCTACATGATGATATTTGCATGTTATTAAAGCTCTCAGACGTGATCAGGTCTCTCTCTCTTTCTTCTTTTCTTCCTCTCTCTTCTTTTCTTTCTCTCTGTTCCTCCGTGTGATTGATTGGAGGAGTTCATCAACAGACTCGCACCCCCATCGCGTCTCCGGCCGCTTGCGCTGCTCGTGATTGGTCCGCCTCCTGCAGCCGCGGCTCCAAGCGCCTCCTCTCATAAACGGAGTTGGAGCGCACCGACGTTTCCCCGTTACTTCCAGCCAGGAGACGCAGCGACTCACCACTGAGGACTCACAGTGCGACCTATGGCACACAACTAGCAGGTATGTGGCGAAAAGAGACTCTGTTTTTCTTTCTGTGCCTCCTCTTGTGTCTGTATTCATCCTCCATGGCGCACAGTCGGGTTAGATGTGCGTAATCTGGTGCCGAGCGCAGCGGAACTTTACGCGTCATTTCGGGGTGTCGTTTTTTTTTTTTTTATCGCTCCAGTCTGCCCCTCGGTCCTTATCTGTTTCGGGTCTTATCAAATGGTTATCTCTTTTTTGCTGTGAAGACATACTGCGTTTTGTTTCCAGCCTCTTATGTGTGTTCGTGTGTGTGTGGGAGGACAGGGATTTGGCACGGATGGATCCATGCGCTCTTGTGCGCTCTTGATGGGAATATGACAGCCACTGTGGATTGGATGGTGTTTGACTGGAGTTAGAGATGATAGAGATTTAGTTTAAACATTTTCATATTCTTGGTTTATTCTTTTTTTTTAATTTCAGCCTCTCCTCTAAAGATGAAATCACACTGTCTGCCCGAAGTGGACTTGCGTTTTTCCACAACTTTGGCGAGTTTCTGTCTAGATGAATTTTGTGGCACATTTTGAACTCGCTTAACACGAGTGTATTTTCCTCTAATTTCCCTAGTGTTAACATTCATTTCCTTGTTGTCTTACAGGGTAGACAACTCCCTGAGCATTTTTTATTAACCCCTACGGTGTATGGAAAGTGCTCCTGGATGGAGCTGGGCGAAAACAGCTGGTCCATGGTCAAGCGAGAAGTATCCAGCAGCCCAGGGTCACCGGCTGAGCAGACCTACCTGCCAGGTGACAGCAGGAGGAACGGCCCCACCTCGGAGGAGCTGAGGACAGCTCCGAGCGAGCTTGACGCGCTGGGGCACCGCCGCTCCGACGGCAGATCACTGCACTCCTACGTTCACTTCGGACACCATAACAACACCCTGACCGCCGCCGAGGACATCCCGCTGTTTACGGATTTAGACCAGGGCAGCAAGCTTGTCCTCTCCAGCGGAGCGCACAAGGCGAGCCTGCTGGTGGACTCGGCCGACATGTACCAAACGCTGGCCATCGCCGCAGCCCAAAGCCAGACTGGATATGATTCCTCCTCTGGTGGTTACATGCACTCCAACCCCAACTCTCCCGTGTACGTGCCCAGCTCCCGGGTGGGCCCCATGATTCCCAGCCTGTCTTACCTGCAGGCCAGCGGCTCTGCGCAGCCCAGCCACGCCGTCTCCAGTCACTCGGTCTGGTCGCAGTCCACCCCGGAGAGCCCCTCGTACAGCACCGGGAGCCCGCACACCTCCAGCCGGTTCCACTACCCTCCAAGCCCGCCCATGAATAACGGAACCCCGAGAGACACCGGTTACGCTAACACGCTGAACATGAGCAACAGGGACCAGTACGGCCTCTCTCGGCCCCTCAGTGGCACCTACCCGAGTCCATACTCTCCTTACGTTGCACCGCAGCTCTCCCAGCTGCCCTCGCCGTGGACCGGGGGACCTTTCGACAACACCATGCTGCACACCTTGCAGAGCAGAGGCGCGCCCTTGATCCGAGCACCAAACGGAGGTAAGAAGAAAACAAAAACTGCAAATTAGTGGAGGTCATGGCGATGGAATAGTTTTCATTCTCACTGTCTGAGATGCAGGAATGTTTTGGTAACAGAACCTGATGGAGGCCAAAGTTTAAAAATCCAAAATGACTCTGTTTGACAAAGTAGTCAACCGCAAATATATTCCTTTGTAGAACTTTGGCATGAGGCACATGTTTGTTTCAGTCCTGCGAGAAAAGTCAGGCCCGTTTCTGTGCGTAAACCTACGACAACTGGCCAAAACATTAAATATAAAAATAAACCCCCATAGGTATTCAAGCAGCAGGATAAATATATGGAAAGTGTGTCAGATTAAATCAAGTCTTTATTTAAATACCATGATACAATCTGTGTCCTTTAGATTATTTTTTTCTAGGCATACGTGGAATCCATGGATCAGATTTAATTTCCTTCACTTCGCAAAGGCTTTACAAAAAACTACGCATTAAAATTGTACTTTCTTCTGATTTAAGTCTTTCTTCTTAAGTTTCAGATATTCTCGATGACATGGGGGAGAGCAGGGAGTGCGTCAACTGCGGCTCCATCTCCACGCCACTGTGGAGGCGCGACGGCACAGGCCACTTTCTCTGCAACGCCTGCGGCCTGTACAGCAAAATGAATGGGCTGAGCAGGCCATTAATTAAACCACAGAAACGGACGGTAAGCAGGGGATCACTTAAACGCCCAATTTCCTGCCTAATGGCTGAAGGTTATCACCCATGATATCCGTGGTCACCCATTCAATATTTCATTTTCAAACGGTTTTACTCCAATATATAGAATCCCATTTTATCCGGGACTTATCTCGTAAAATACGCAGAAATATGCATGTAAAAATAAATCACTCATCATGTAACAAATGCGAGTTAATAACATTTTTCAGCACATGAACCAATTGTATTAAAGAATCGTAGTTGATACAGGACACAATGTGTTAATTTCTTAAAATTTGGTTTGAATGGAATCGAAGGCGCTGATTTAATTGGATTAAAACCACACATACATACACACAGAGGACAATTGTTAACGTAATTAATCGGGCACTTAATCAGCCACTCAAAGCCTTTTCATCTTGGGTAATTTAATCTGAGTGGGCGACAGAGACAAATCTGTTCCTGGTGCCGTTACGCACGACTTTAACCAGGAAAACCAAACGTCACGCATGGACACTCCTTGGAAAGTAACATCCTGTAAAAAGCCGTGCGTAAAAGCCAGTTAAATGGAGATCATAATAGAGCCTTTATTATTGTTAGGAAATAGGATGTGAATGGTCGGACTGTAATTCAATTAGTGGAGTGTGGCTCACACTTGAAAAACTTTTTTTCCTAAGTTGTGACAAAAACGCTCAAATAATTTCGGTTTGACAAATTTATTAAAATCTTTTATTATTTAAAAGCGTGAATCTGACTTTGATATTTATTTTGGATGTTTTTATCTCCAGTCGACGTCAAGAAGAATCGGCCTGTCCTGCGCCAACTGTCAAACCAGCACGACAACTCTGTGGCGCAGAAATGCAGAGGGAGAGCCAGTGTGTAACGCATGTGGCCTCTACACAAAATTACACGGGGTGAGTGGAGGTTTCATTTCACATTTCTTTCTAATTCAATCACAGCAAAAAGAAAAACATTAAATAATCACAGCGTCACAGAAAATTAATAAAACCTTGTGTCCAAAAATGATCCAATCTGCAGGTACCTCGGCCGCTCGCCATGAAGAAAGAGGGAATTCAGACGAGAAAAAGAAAACCCAAGACCATGAATAAAACAAAGGGATCCTCTGGTGAGTGTCTGCATATTTATTGTTTCTCTGCCTGTAAATACATATTATCAACACAATGCTTTTCACAAAAAGCGGATCTTAATAACAGGCTTTATGTTTTATAGGAAATAACAACTCAATCTCTATGACTCCCACATCCACCTCCTCATCCAATTCTGAAGACTGCTCAAAAAACAGCTCTCCCTCCGGACAGGTGTCAGGGGTAAGACTTTTATTTATTCTTGTCTAATTTATGAATTCAAATTATTCTTTCTTTATAAGAGTCAATTACAATTGGGCATCTGTATCATCTGACAATGAAAAAAATAATATAACAACCTGCTATGGGACTTGATCATTTGAAAATATCATTCTTAATTTAATTTTAAATGTCAAACTTGATGCTTCCTCAGAATGAAACATTGTGTAATGGAATCATTGCGGCCTCTGATTCAAATGGCCATGCAGCTGACTGAGGCTCTGTGGTGATGAAAAATGTATCACCATAATTTTACAGTAAAATTCACATTTCTTGGTATTTGATGCTATTTTCCGTCATTGGTGTCATGCAAGAAGCATCTCAGTAAAAAAGAATGTGTATCATGCACCACAAAAAGCAGTAGATGCTTTTATATAGAAGAACTTGATCTTTTTCAGTCAGACTAATAATGCAGTTTGTATTTGCTCTGTTGCTGCAGGTCAGTTCGTCTGTGCTGTCCAGCTCAGGGGAGGGAACAGGCTCGGCCTCAGCGCTGAAGTACCCGGCACAGGACGGCCTGTACACCAGCGTGGGCTTGACCCAGCCATCAGATGTAGCTTCAGTGCGGGGTGAACCCTGGTGCCCCATGGCTTTAGCTTGAACACCTAAATCTGTTTTTGGGAGGACAGCAATCCCTGGGCCCTTCTGTCTGGATGCTAAGTGTTGTGGAAGTATTCCGGGGGCATTGTTTGTTTCCTTCCTCGCAGCTGATGCAAGAAGAGTCGGACGTTGTGGAAAAGAATCGTGAGACCACTTCAGGTCATGCTGCAAGCTTGAAGATTGGAGTATCTGGGATTTGTTTCCAGATTGGTGTGGGGATCTTGTTGCCTTTAAGAAAAATAAAAACCAAAAGGGAGACTCCAGGCCTATGATCAGGTGGCCTGCTGTGGATGGTTTCTGGACCTGCCGTGCACTCGATATCTCACCCGTCCGTGGCACAGAACCAGACCCAGGTTCATGAAACAAGGCCACCGTGTACATAAAGGATTTCCTCTCTGAAGAAAAAAGCTGTTGATTGGATTTCAGTGGTTCATAAAGCGCTGTGCTCTTTTTAAGTACATTTAGATTTTCCTTTTCTTTCCACAACTGGAATCATGCCACAAGTGACAAGACAACTTTAATGAATCAAAAGAAGAAAGAATATTTATAAATCTTCCAATGTTGAAAACATGGCTATGATTGTTAATAAAGATATCGATATAGAGTAGAAGTTAAACCATTCTGATGTCTTCTTTTCCTATTTTTATTTCTTTATAAGTGGTTGTTAGTAGCAGTAGTGTTGAATCTGCACATGTTTTCCACTGAAAGCTCTTACTGTATTTGACTGAAACTTGTTTGGTTTAAACAGGGTATAAATGACTGTGTCATCTAGTGTGTTTGTTTAATTCATTGCAAATATCGACTCCTTCAGACTAATTTTTTGATACCTGTCGGCTGTTGGCTGTAACATGATGGTACTTCTCTAAAAGCAGGGCTTCAAAAACACTATTTCACATGTGAAGAGGTCGGAGGGCTCGCTGGAACAAAGCACACCCAGAATAGCTGTGAGCCAGCTGACATTTATGTTACACGACTGTTGGCTTTGCAACCTGATTCATTATAGACTGTGTAACTTTCACAATGCAAGTATGTACTGTTGCATCATTTTTATACCACAATCAGAGCAATGTGGAGAGTGAGGTCACCTCTGAACAAATTCATGTTACTTTTGATGACTTATTCCACTGAGGATTCAAAGGAATGTAACGACCCAGTAGTTTAACGTGGCGAGATGTTAAATGAGAGAAATAAATAAAGATGCAAAACAGTTCATATCACAGTTTAATATATTTTTTCTTTCAAATTGCGACCCCATTTGAATTCACCACAGAATGGGTGGCATGCAGAATCCAAAACAATTCGAGAGGTGTGTTTGATTCTACACCCTCTACGTCTCGTCTCTCCAGTTGTGGCGTGGGCGGAGTCTCGAAAAGCCATTACAGGCCTCAAAACAACCACAAGGAGAATTTAAAGATGAAGACAATCTGTTGGGTTAGATATCGTGAGAGGGTTATTTCTGTTTCTATTTCTATTTTAAAACTCACTACATCCAAATAAGGCATGCCATTCACTCTGATGGAGTTTATTTATTTTTCTGAAATATCATGTTTCTTCTTTTTTTTATTTTTTTGCTCTATGTTTGTTTTTCCTGAAACATTCTAAGAAATTATTTTTATTTAAATTCAGTCCAATAAATTGTTCTGGTTACCATGTGTTTTAAACAGAGCATCAGTGTATAGTTTTCTATGAGGCGATCACAGCCTTGGTTTAACAGAAACTTTTCAATCTTAAGGTTTGTCAGATCAGCTAATTCAAGGCAAACATTTCCTGGAAAGAGAAAAAAAAAATAAAAAGTAAAATTCATGCCTTATTTTCACATTTCAAACATATCTCACCTTAATCTTTGAAAACATTTGGAAACATTCCCAATGTTTTCTTGCTGATTTGCCTCCAAACTCTGCTTCTGTTCCATTGAAGCAAACTTTATTCTTCTTTTTTTAAATTTTACTCGAGTTTTTCTTCCCTAACATTTAGCCTCCGTGGGTCTCAGTGCACGGCCAACTTTCCTGTCTCCTCTTGAACCAGCAGCTCAAAGTACCTGTCACAATGTTTACTGTACTTGAGCGAGAATGGCCTGTGAGTAGCACCACATGAAAAGATTTTTTGAGATCGTGGAGATTTATGTCTCGGCTCAGCGTTATCTGTCTGCTCTTTGACGTATTGATTTAGCCGGGTTTATTAAGTGTGGAGGAATGTGCTGCACTCTGCACAACGGCCACATCCACCCTTCTGACGTGAACACTTGTTGTTGTTGCTTTTGTTTTTGCAGAGGATCAAACTTCTGCATTTAGTTGGAATCAGACAGAGTCTTCAGCGTTACTGGTGCAGCAATGAAAATGTTTGGCATGTTTTCGTAGGTGTTATATAAAACTCAATCTGTGCCCTGAGACCACCAGGCGTTCGGTGCCCGAGCTTCAATAAATGACAAAACCCAGTGTTGGATTCGTAAATGAAAACTAGTGTTCAACTCAAAACAGGAGTAAATATTTATAGGTTTCTAAATTTATGATGAGGTCCCACCTTGGCACTGTCTGACTGGTCTCCATGTTGCAGCGAGGGAGGACACATAAACACAACAGAAATCCTCCCTGCATTCATTCGCTCTCATCTGGACAGATGTTCACAAAGCTGAGGGTCACAACAACCATCACGTGCAGCAGGGATGTACACAAACATTCTGAGGGGCCATTGCTCTAACCTGAAAAAGGCAACAACCCCCATTACCCCTTTTTGCTAGTGTAAGTTAAACCTGTAGTGCAGGTAGGCAAACGTTTCCCAGAAGTTATTTAATCAGGGGTTTGATTTTGCATCGTGAGCCGATTACCAACCGTAATATTCAGACATCAAAAATACAATTTCAGTAAATAAATTCATTATGAGTGGACATTGTGGGGGCGCTGTTGGGTTTCTATATAATTTGTAAGGTCTTGACCTTCTATGTAAAGTGCCTGGAGATTAATGTATATTATGATTTGGCGCTGTGCAAATAAAATTGAATTGAATTGTGTTCATCATGTAAAAAACATTTTTGAAAATACATTAAGCAAATTCAGCGTTTGGACAGTGTCACATTTTAAGCGGCATCGCTTTGCATAATATTCAAAAATCTTTTGTGACTGGATGATATTGATATCATGTTTTAATTTGGTCAAACTCTAGCAGCTATTGGGTTTCTCATATTAATGCAGCCACAGTGATAATAAAACCTTTTTTACTGCAGAGGAGCAGCTCGGTCAAAGAGCGTAAATGAGCAGTTACAAGCAGTTTCAGCCTCAAGCTGTGCACGGCCATGACAAAGAGATTCAAGCCACAAGGCGACACTAATAATCTGTGAGGGTGATAGAGATGCAGCCATGGAACAGAAAAGGGATTCTGATCCCACATAAACTGGAGAAGTTTGGAAGAGCAGATAGGAGACAGAGACAGACGCAGACAGTCAGAGAGGGAGAAAGATCTTGATGGCAGTGCAGGGTTGAAAGTCCTCCCAAAGTAAACAGCACAGGCTAACCTAACAGCAGCAGCAGACTCCAGGGCCCAGGGCTGTTTGACCACGGGGCCGCGGCGCAGTATGGCCCAGTGGCTCCCTCAGGAGATGCCTGTTGATCTTTCCATGCTGCCTTTCAAAGGAGAGCACCGCCGGCCCTGCCTCCGGAAGAGATGCCATCTCTGACTCAGCCCTTTTGGGTTTCCTCGACAGACGCGGGGGCACATTCTGGGAGAAAAAAAATGTTGTAAACACGATATTGCTGTGCGGCTTTTAGATTTGGAGTCTCATCTGATGGAAAGATTGTTTGTGAATATAAACCATTAATTGTTCTGGAATATGATTCGCTCACTTCGTCCGATTCATAGAAAGCTAAACTACTCACAAAGCTGTCAGCTTTAGTAAACACAGCCACAAGTGTATAGGAAAGAATAAAGGCGCCTCCTCCTCCACCCTTGTCAAACTCTTGGAGTGTTACTCACAGGAAGTTTGTTACACACAGGGGAAACATTGAGTTTGAAAGTAATGAGTAATGATAAGAAACTCAACCCTTCCTCTTCTCTAATAATTAAACATGAGAACTGTTGTTAAAAACTAGGTGACAGAGAGACGGCTCCACGCAATGCATGAGATGACATCATCAAGTGAGTCTTACTTATTACACAAACAGTGGGAGTGTGTTTGAGGGAACGGCACTTCTCGTGAAGAAGAGTGAAAATGTCAGGGTGAGCCAGAATATCACTTGGCCTGACTCTGAGTGTACGTGAGTGTTGCTTACGTGTGTGTGTGTGTGTGTGTGTGTGTGTGTGTGTGTGTGTGTGTGTGTTGTAAAGATTTTCCAGGAAGTTGTCAGCTCTGACGGTTAATGGGGAAGGAAATATTGAACACTGGAAGTGTAGGAAAAGACGAAAGCAAAACTCGACGAAAAAGGAAATAAGTGACAACCCTTTAACCTGAGAGCTGCTCCAGTTCTACCTGGGAGAAACTCCAAATGTTGTCGAATATTTTAAACTCTCTTTCTGAAATTAAAGAAGTTACACAATTGATTTGTCATTACTCAATTCAGTTACAACACACAGACAGTATGACAGCATTTATGCCTCACTTTTTAAATTCCAAATTGTGATTATTAATTTAATATCTGAATAAAAAAGGCCAAACGTATCACAATGATAATATCTCATTTATATATGTTTCTTTGTCAGGGTGATAAAATTATTTATTTTTAGTTATGGATTAATCAAATATGGACGTTCCTTCTATTCTGTCTCACCCATTAAAAGTTTCTCACTGGATCAATCAGAAAATGTAAAATATCATTATGTTCAGTATATTTATAAAACCATATGAAATAATATGTGATATGAGAGATGATTTTAACCATATTTGTTAATGTGAAACAATCAGAAGGAGCCAAACAACATGTCAGTGCGTTGTTGTGTCAAACGCCTGGTTATGCCACTGACATCGATGTGGCTCAGGAGGTAGAGTGGGTCGCCCATTAACCAGTCCTGAACCCCAAATTGGCCCTGATGAATGTAGTGGCATTGTGTGAATAATGTAATAAAAGTGCTGTGTGTAGAAACGCTGTGGGAATGATTGTAAAAAAAGGCTTTTCCCATTTTGTGTTTGTCCACATTGTTGTTCCCCTCTGAAGGTGCGAGCTGCTGGGAACGTTCTGCAGGGAACAGTGAGCCAAACGTGCACTTACACAAGTTCCTGTGTTAATCAGCTGGTGACAGAGAGTTGCAAAAAATGGATTCATTAATATTGTACAGAGACATGTGAGCTGAGGTACAGCTGTGTTACAGAACGTTTCAAAAGATACCTGCAAATTATCATTGCACCAAAAATGGCTGACACTGTGGCCATGAAGCCGCATCTCGCTACCTCTCTGCAGCTCTTCAGTAAACTCCCCCTCAACTGTAGAAACTGTATTTGCAGGATGAAGGTAAAGTATCTGTGAGCGGTTCAGAACAATTTGACTATCAAATCAACTTCCAGTTCCACACAATGCGTCGCTGCTTTTGTCAGGTGACCGTTCTGTTTCTCTCTAATAGGAAAAGTTAGCTGCAGCCCCTCTGTCTGCAGGAGTCAGAGCTTTGAAACTCAGCCACTAAATCATGTAACTCGTGTAAGTATTTTCTGCTGCCGCCATCCAAGTAGTATGCTGAGATTCCTGTGAGTTCAATATAAGGTTACAGCTATCTCTCCTCTCCTCTACCCGCCCGGCAGTCAGCCTTGCGTCCAAGGCGTTTTGAATTAAGCTCATCGCGCTCTCGTATGGG